AGAAAATAGGCAAGTCGTGCCTCGTATCGTTGGTGCAAGTTGTCGTTGGTGAAGGTTGTACGGAAGAAGCAGAAGTGTAAAGAGCGGCGTTCTTTCCAGGCACAGCCAAAATGGAGAGGAAGTAATTACGGTCGCAAGTGAAGAAACAGTCTATAGAAGGAAACAGAAGAGGAAAGACGTGACGGACGTGACAGGACGTGACGTGACGAGTATGTTCACGGGAATGCTGCTATCGTAGTTTGGTTTGGTTGTTGTTGATGAGTCGAAGGGAAGGAGCACGGGGGGAGGAAGTGAGGTCAGTCATGGCGACAGGTAGGTAGGTAGCATAGCAGGTCCCCGGTACGGAGTAGGTAGGTGCTGGTACGTGCTCCCCGCCAGCAGGTCTCCAGCAGGTCAGGCCGGGCCTGGTCAGGTACACCACCATCAAATCACAGGCGCGCCGGGGTCGTCTAAGAATGGGTACAGCGGTACATCGGATGCCTTAATGGAACAGAAGAGGTCAGATAAGATACGGGAAGCCGGACCTTCCTTACACAGCACCTCCCCTCCTACCCTTCAGCCCAACCTGCCACTTCCACTTCCACACTACGACGCAGTACTTCATTTACCCCTCGCGACATCATTCAGAGTCCACCTGCACTTTCGTCCCTCAGCAGGTCACTGGTGCAGCAGCTGCTCTCCGCGGGAGGGAGCGGGGCGTTTGCGTGCTTTCGCAGCTCGACAACCCGAGGACGGCGCCGTGCCCCCAAGGTGCCACTCACTGAATGCCCCCCTCCAAGCCACCCCTCCACGCCCTCCACTTCAATCAGGACAGCCAGTTGGAGGAACTGGGGCCAGGGTGCAGGGGTGTCAAGCGCAGGCAGCTGGCCAGGATTGGAATGAAAGAGGGTGGGAGGGTGAGGGGTGTTTCCGGGGAGAGGGACATCCAGGGCACTGGTGCTGCGCGCTGATGTTGCTGCTGCTGTTGATGCTGTTTGGCACTGTCCCGCAGGTTCCAGGTGCGAGGTATCTTCTGCCCCTCGAGCATGGCCTCCGGTACATCTCGGCGGCATGTAGCGCAGGACAGGATGCAGGACGCAGTGCGGATACAGCTACTATGTACAGATACAGCGCACCAATCTGGAGCCAGCCTTCTTCATCGGACAGGGGGTGGTTGGGACAGGTTGAAGATGATAAAGTCTTCCGAGGTATTCTTTGTGCTAACAATAGCTGCAGAAATACCTGTTTCGATCTCGGGATACTTGGCACTGCAAGCCATTAAGGTACGGCAGTACGTATCCCACATCAGCAACGGACACTTGCTGCTTGACACTCAGGTCGACACGCCCAGGCCTCTCTCTCTCTCTACGCGGTAGAGCAGTCGGGTCTGGCCTGGGCTGTCTGGTGTCCCGGAGTTCAGTCCAGCCCAGCCATCAACAGGAGCAACAATCGCATTATCTGCGATACGCCTCCAGAAGGCAGCTCTTTCAACACGGAACCGCAGATGCGCGGTAGTCTTCTCCTTGTGCGAAATCGAAGACGCAAACATCAAAGTCACATCCGCTTGTCAGAGGGACACGATCCAACGCTACGAATTCAATCTTTGTCTGAGACCCCTCGTCTCGCTCAACACTCACCAACTCTTCTTCCATACACTTCCACCGATTTACCATGTGCCTGACGGTTGGCCTCCCACACCACACCACACTCCTGGTGCTAAGCTGAGCTCTGCATACGCATACAGAGTCTCTTCTGCCGAGGCCGGCGACGGGCAACCCGACCTTGGAATCTCTCTCTGTCTCTCTCACTCTTTCTCAGCAGTCAGGACGCAGGCGGCAACGGCGCCAGGTCTAGTCAGAGCCAACCCAGTCAACCAATACCAAGACCAATGCCGAACTGACACTCCCATGGTCACTCACTCCTTCCACCTTCTCCCCCTCATCCACCAATCTCGCTCATCAATCTCCGTCAAATCACTACAATCTCACCCCTGTGTCCGGGACCAGCTGCTGACGCCTGGGCTGTGCGTGCCTACACGCGCCTGCGCCCGCGGTGGACGACGGATGATAATGACGATCCGGGGGTGACCGATGCCATCATTCCGCTTTGGCCTGGTGACGGCGGCGCAGACACGACCTGCTGGACGCTCTCAACCAAGCTTCCCCCGGGACAACAGCACGACGGTTCGTACACTAAAATAACGGTTGCCCGTCTTTCACCTACCGCCAACCTGGAAATTGCCTCGCAACCTCGCTTCTCCATGGCTCTTTACGGTGTGCCGTCGCCCATCCCATTTTACCCCCCGTCCCCGTCATCGGTCACCCGTCCATGCTATCGCGCGCCAGCTGTTAAACTGCCACACCCGACACTCTTCTGGCCAGACCGTCCAACTGACAAAGACACCTGACCCCTCGGTGGAGGACGGGGGGCCACCAAGTCAGGTGAACGGGCCACTCATAGCTCTCCCGTGGCCCACGAGAACAACACACCACCACTGACGTAGGTAGGGCTCTCCTGGTACCCCTCCTTATGCCCGCGGGCTCGCATCTCTGAGCACACCTCGAACCTCTCAACCCTCACCGTTTCAAGATGAGATGCCGGTTATGAAGTCATCTGTTGGGAAAGCTGAGTTCTGGCTATCGTCGGGTCATTACCTAAGACAACAGCCCCAATCCAACGAGGCGAAGCGAGGCGAGATGGTGCAGGACGAGGCGACGCGGACGATGCATGGCACGGGGACGCCCGTGGTCGCGACCTCGTCGAAGCGCAAGCGCATAGAGCGGTTTGAGGTCGGAGCTACCACCGGATGAATCCATCGTCATCGATGAGATCAAATTCGATGCGCTCCCGTCCGTCAGCCTGAGAATGGAACACCGGAATGCCATCGTGAAAAGGCGCAGTCAGTGGGTTCGACAAAACACACTTTGCGCCAATTCCCAGCGTCTCGTCCAACATCTGTCTTTCGGCGGATAATGCCATGGACGTACGTCGTCCAATTCTAAATCTGCCTTGACAACTCCCAGCCTCTCGGCTCTACAGTGTCCGAGGTGCCGCATTCGACGCTTCAAAAGTTGGACTCAGATGGCAGTGGCCCCTCAATCGGAGCCCACTGGTCCAGCCAGACTCGATAATCATCCATTCGCCATTCACCATCGTGCTTTTTCCATGCCGCACTCCCAGCCCAACTAAACACGTTCTCACTTCCATCCAGCCCCTTTCTTCTGACACCACCCTTCAACATGACGTGCACACCCTGCTCGGTTACTGACCCGATCGCGCTCGTGATCCAGTGCTTCCTCGCCGCGACTGAGCCCCACATCTCCGTCCGCAGCTGCCGGAGGTCTTGATCAAAGTGTCAGCTTACGGCTGCAACTCATCACCCGCGTCGTACGTACTCTCGTGCTTCTCGGCCGCCTGCGGTCCAATCTTGACCTTCGCGTCCGGCGTGAAGAACGCCAGCCATTGCTCGTTCAGCTCCTTGTTGTCGCTCGTCCGGTAAAAGTCCCTGAGGCGGAGCCGAAGGTCCCGGTCCATTGCCGTCTCGGTCGGCGAGAACGGCTCCAGCCGTGAGTAGCTGTCGTACGGCTCGACGCCTTCTGTCGCTGCGAATTCTCCCATTTTTCGACTTCGTGCAGTGAACTTTTTCTGTTCCTCGCTGATAATGTTTCTTTCAACGTATGCGGGCACACACCAGCGAGCGGCGGAGGTGTGTGACGTTTATACCCGTCCCAAGTCCCAGTGTTAGTTAAGTCTTCGGCCCGGGCACCTGGTCTGACGACACCCGAAATTCGGAACTGTTATCCGGGAAGGGAGACCATCATGAGAGTCGGAATTTCCGTTGCGGCGGTGGTACAATTGCGCGGCTAACGCACAGCAACCTGTCATCGTCTTCAAAACTACGATGCGATAGTTGGATCGGTAATCAGAGTCGTTGCAGGTTCCTTCCCATGGATGCGGGCTGAGTGCCGCCTTTCGTTGGGTTCCGAGGTTGAACTAGGGGCCGCCCCTCTTAGCACCGCAATCCGCTCCACCGAGCATCTCACCAAGAGAGGCTTAGCCTCTAATCTCTCCCCTTGGTGTAGTTGGTTCATCACGTTCGACTGTAATGGTTACATTGTCATCGAAAGGTCTCTAGTTCGATTCTGGAAGGGGAGAACCAATTCTTTTTTTGTCGGTTTTTGCTATTGCACAAATGCATTTCGGGCATCTCCCAGGTTCTGCTTTGCCGCATTTCACTGATTTATACAACATTCCAGTCCACTGCTTGGCGCTAAAGACTTAACACCGTCACTCGTGGTATTCGACTGGCTTTTCCTTTCACCTTTCACGTTTATTTGGGTCATGCTGTCGCGAGACAAGTTGTATTACTATTGTGTTGTCATCGGGGCTTGAAGCTCTTTATTCTGCGACGTTTGGAAATTAAAGGTTAGCAGACTTGCTAGGAAGACTCTGCAAAAGCCTCTGACCTGGAAACTATAACCTATCCACCTGTTCTTGATCTTCCAGGGGAATCAGGACGCTAGAGCGTAGGCAGTGTGGTTCATGAGCTTATGGCAACTGGCAAGTTGGTCATATTCAAATCACGAAGTAGCGAGTTTTTGGATGGGCGTTGGGTAAGACTGCCCGTACAGGCGATAAATGTATTGTTGGGATAGCCAGCCTTCCCAGCTCATAATATGTACTCAATGTACCTTGCCGCTATCTTCGAGATGCAGGGGTCGCGCGGATACTGCAACGCGGTGCGGATGACCGCTGGTGATGGGGACCCTCGTGCTGGGCGTGTTGGTTTTCTTGCTACTGAGGATTTTAGTGTTGTGTTTGCCGACGGCAATGGACCATTACTTACATCAGACAGCATCTACGAACATACGTCGGGCAGGGCGACACCTGCAATCGTCTTGAGTAGTCAGTCACCTGGGAAGCTGCCGGCGGAGGGACCGATATCGTGGCCGTAGTTTGAAGCTCAAGACGACTTGGTTGACATCTCTCACGTCGTCGTCGCGGGCGGAGAGGATGGCGGCTCAGTCTTGCCACCAATTCCACGGTCTCTGGCCATGCGTTTGCTCGGTCCTCAGGCGCTGTCGTGTGGCCATCAGCGCCTTTCCCAGGCGGTTCTCTCCCCAGTGCTTCTGTTGGCTCATGGCATGCTTAGCACTGTATCCGATGCCCCAAACGCGGTCTCGGGGTGCCGCTTCGCACAGCAGGCGGTCATGCGTGCAGAGCAGTTTTCTTGCGAGGTGTGGGTTCTGGCTGAACTTGGCGACGTTGCCCGCCTCCACGACTGCGCTCTTGACGGGATCCCACATCTCGTCGGTGAAGTCTACGGTTGCTTTGTCAAGTGCCTTTTGCCCCTTGGGGCTCGACGTGACGAGTATCTGGGCTTGTATAGCGGTGTCGTGGAATGTTGCTGCCTTGCAGTACATCATGAACTGCTCGGCGCAGTTGAAGGTGATGCTGCCATCAGGGTCGGCCTCGTCAACCAAGTGGCCGACAAGGTCGGAGATTTCTACCTTGGCCACCCGAAATTCGGCTTTGTGCCACTGTCAGAATTCTCCCATTCGGCATCTGGCATGTAGAAGAATATGGGCATGTCTGCCATGTTCTTCTTTCAAGGTGACGCCTTCTTTGTGGTAGTCTTTCTCGCTTGAGGAGCCATGGCGATTAAGTGGTGGTGGTGTTGGTGGGGTGTGTGTTGTTATGAGTTGTAAAAGTTCAATTGTAAGAGTATGTACGGTAAGAGTAAGGGAAGTATGCATCTTACTGGAAGTTGGCTAATGGTCTTATTTCATAATCCGTTCAGAGAAACTCTTAGGCGCAACTTTGTTTCAATTTCTGTACATTAAATTGAAGATCGACGAGACATCGATCTCAAGACCAACAAAGGTAACACCTATCGGAATATGCAGAACCCGTAGAACCTTCAGCTTTTAAAAAGAGGTGACTTAATCGCTTCATAACATCAGAACACCACCAGTGACGCATGACAAAAGGATCAACCCGATTCTGATATTCTAGCCAATGCCAGATATATAATCCGCAGAAAAACACTGGCATTTCAACCTTAGTGATTTGCTTCGGAGGCAAAAGCGGAGACTTCTCGCAACGCGGGAACCTTTTGAAGACGACTCGTCCAGAAGACAAAATGGTTGCAGTGATGTGTGACAAGGTGCTCGAAAATTCGCATCTCTGGAAGCTAGACAGTACTATTTAAATGCGGCACTCTCGGCACCATCCTCTCGCTTTCTTTTGATTGCCCATTCTACAATCCCGATTTCGCAGCTTCAGCTTTTACACTTTCGTCAACAAACTGGTTCTGGCCAGCTACAGCTAAAGATGTCTACCAACTCCCTGGTTTCCCTCCAAGCCCTCCTAGAGATCGGATTCTCACAGGGAAAGGCAGAGCAACTCTGGACGGAGTGGTCAAATTGGCCGGAAGGGCCCGTTAGCCGAGAGACAGACCCTTATGATGGGGGCTTGCAGATGACGTTTGATCACTTCTTCATTGCAGGCCTCGAGAGAGACGACGGAGATGTTTGGGGCGACGACGAAACAGAATGGCGAAACTCGCTCACTCGCTATGGTATCAATAGCAGCGCTGCATACCAATCAAACAAGTCAAATCTGAGGCTTCGACTTAACTGTTTAACTCAAAGATTATAATAAACTTAACTAATTAATAGATTTAAACTTAACTTACTAGATTTAATATGAAATTACCTAATTAGGAAGTTAGTAATACTATTATAAGGTCTCTAGGGGTTAGATATATACACTATATAGTGATTTAAGGTTATATTAACCCTATTAACCCCTCCTTATATATATATAGCTACTAATAGTAACTTAGTTGCTTTAAACTTAGTTCTAAAGGTATTAAGTCCTCTTAAGTAGAGATAGCTTTATTAATAACTTCTATAAAGTTAGTATAAGCTTAATAAGGCTAAATACCCTCTTATAATCTATTACTATTACTAAGATAGCAAAGATATTAATAATAAATCTACTAAAGGTTAGGAAGGTCTAATAATATAAAATCCACTACTTAATAAGGTTATTAATAAGTTAAATAATTAATAGATAATAATATTAATCTAGCTTAGAAGCCCTATTATTAATAACCCTCTAGGTCCTACTAGCTAACTATTAGCTATATTTAAAATTTTTATAGCATAATACTATTAAGATTAATATAAAAGAACCCTCTAGGGGTGTTAGAGGTGTTAAAATAGAGGCTACTTTATAATACTATTATTCCTAGTACTTATAAAGACCTCACTTAGTATTAATAACCTAAAAGCTTATTTCTAGTATATCTTAACACTACTTAAGCTATTATAAGCCTCACCTAAGGTATAAAATCATAGTAGTAGTATAAATAGGCGACTCTCTAAGCTTAGTATAATACTTATTAAGTACCTTCTAACTATTAATAATAAAGATATATAAGTAGATGTTAAAGTTAAAGTTAACCTCACCTTAAGGGCCTTAAGATTTATACTTAAAGTAGGTATAAGTAGGGATACTATTAATTAATAAGGTCTATAAGGATACTACTAATTAATATAAAGATTACTATAATAACCTTATACGCTAAGTTAACTATAATAATTAACTCTATAAAGCTATTTAATTAATCTCTTTATTAGTAGGGATATTATATAACTTCTATTAGTTCTCTAACTTATCTAAGAGGTACTTTATACCTATAAAAACCTCTTAAAGTTAGATATACTTATTACCTTTACCTTAGCTTTTATATTACTTAGTTTATCTATAGAGAGGCTTAAGAATATTATTAAGTTTAATAAGGATATATTAATCCTTATTAGAGAGGTAATCCTTATTAAGGAGATAATCTACTAAGTTATAAAGAAGCTTATTATTATATATAAAAGTATTAATCTAGTTATATTTAAGTAAAGCCTTTTAGATTATTATATATATTAAATTCTATTTTATAGTATTATTTAATATTAAGTTAAGCTCTTAAGATAACTTTTTAAAGATTATAAATATATTAAATTAATTATTAGTTTTATTACTAAACTCTAAGAACTTCTCTATATATTAAGGTGATAATTTAATATACTTAATAATATTATAGAGTTTACTAATAGGTTTCTTACTCCTCTAGAGTATTATATCTACCTCTAAGTTACTAATATTAATAAGATACTTAGATTAATCCTTAAAAATATCTTAATTAACGCTATAGATAATAGCTTAACTAACTAGATTGAGGATATAACTATAGTATTAAATCTATTAATAGATAGTATCTTTTTTATTATATAATAGTGAGATAGATAAGTAGAGTACTTTAATATAAGTGTTATTATTTATAGTGTTATTATAAACTATAAGCCTAACTTAGTTAAGTATTCTAAAGTTATTAATAACTATATATAGGGTAGAGGTAATATTAATACCTAAGTAGGTACTAGGTTAATAATAGAGGGCTAAGAAGTATTATATCTACTTACCTAATTTATTAATAAAGTAGCTAAAGATAGTAATAATTATATATTAATTAGGGGAAGTCTATAAATTAAATAATAGATATATTTAGCTGAAGGTATCCTATATCTCCTACTTAATTTATACTATCTTAGATATATATAAGTAATTAAGTTAAAGCTTTATACTCTCTCTAGACTAATAAACTTAGTTATTAATATTATAATTAAATAGATAGAGGATATACTAAATATATTAGTTACTAAATATTATAAATAGGTTATTTATATTAATAAAGTAGCTTATAATAAGCTCTTTAATCTAGTAGACTTTTAACTTAAGTATAGTAACTATAGTAGAGTAGTAATACTTTAGAGGTAAGCTTATATTATTAGAGTTACCTCTAACTTTAGAACTTCCCTACCTAATATAGTATATTATCTTAAGATAGTTAATAGTAGTAGTTATAGTAGAGGTATTAAAAGGCTTATTAATACTACTAGCTTTATTATAGTAGTAGTAAACCTAGTATATATTACTTTTATAAAGTATTAATATAAAAATAAGTAGACGTTATAAGTAGTATACTAAGTTAGTTATTAAGTAGAAGCTTATAAATAAAGAAGCCCTTATTTCTAATCTAAGAGGTATAGCTATAAGACCTCTTCTTTAAGATTAACTTAGTATTAAAGAAGGTTCTATTCTTCTATTTAGCTTAAGGTAGGGCTTATAGAGAGTCTTTTATACCTAGGTTAGTACTTAATATATTACTAGTAGTTAAGGTAGTATATAGTTAAGTAGTAATATTATAAAGCGTTAATAATAGAGTAATATTAATAAAATAATTAAGATATTAGCTAACGTTAAGTAGAGGTATTATAAAGGTAAGTAAAATATTAATAAAGGTATTAAAAAAGTATATAGATAGGTAAAGCTTTAAGAGATTAATTAGTAGTAATAGCAGTAGTAACAGCAGTAGTATTAATAGTAATATCAAAAAAGGGTTATTTTTAAGAGCTAATATAGAAGTTAAAAATAAGCTTTTTTTAAGCCTTAATAAGGAGACTAAAAACATATTAATCTAATAGTATAGCAAAAAGCGTATTTCTAGTACTTTTAGCACTTCTTAATAATACTAGCTTTACTACTAAGAAGTACCTAGCCCTACTCTACTACCTATTAGCCTAAAGATATTACTAAACTAATATCTATAACTACTTACCCTCTTTTTTTTTAGAGATATATTATAATAAGACCTAATAGGCTAGTAGTAAATCTACTATATAGGTAATTATAGAGATATCAGTTTAAAACTAGTTTAAGTTATCTATTTTAAGTATAAAAGTTATAAGGGTTATAACTTCGAGTAATTAGAATAGGGCTAGGTACTAAAATATCTAGGTAGGCTTTTTTTATTTTTTAAAAAATCTTTTAAAAATTATAATTAGTCTAGAGGTTAGACTTTCCCTTTTTCTAGTTAACCTCTAACTTATTTAAGTTAACTAAGTTAATAGCGATAGCGACTTAGCTATTTGAATCTCTGAATAGCCTTAATTTGATTAGCTGTTTGATTGACTTATTTGAATAGACTTGGTTTGGGTGCAGCGCTGATCAATAGTGACACGCAAGATGCCATTATGAACCCCGAATTCGAACACCTTCGCTTGGCTCAATCCGCACGGTTCTTGGCTAAAGACACCGTCGAGATGCGCTACGCCTGGTTGCAAAGATGCGCAAACCAATCCACGACAATTCCGTCCCTGCAATCTTCAACAGCAGAGAACGATGGCCAGGCACCCGAAAACATTCCACACGAGGCCAATCGTGGACCTCCGTACAAACTGAAACTGTACAAAGCTGCAGAATTGGGTCGTGCCCATCGACTATTCGACGAGAACGGGGCGTTTGACTGCATCGCAGATCTCCGCAGTCCTGCTCCTTCAGACTTCACTGCACATTCGTCAGCATTCTACTTCAGCCCTGACATCGAGGTTGCCCAACTCGAAGGCGCTTACGCGAAGCGCAGGGCGAGTCGCTCATCAATTGTGCTCATACAGATCACGATACCGGTCGATGAGATTGACAAGCTGCCAGACGAAGAGATTCTCTCTGGCCTGCACTGGACGGACCTCCTGTGGAAACAACTAGTCTGGTCATCTCGAAGAGGAGAGATTATGTCGGGCGACCTCCGTAAATATCGAGGAGTGACTATCATCGTTGGTACTAAGGCTCGATTACCGAACGCAGCGTACAGCAAGATGGAATCCCCAGGAGATATCAAGAAAGATTGTATTTACATGGTCACCGAAAAGTTTGAGTCACCGTCGGCAATTCAATGGATGTTTTCTGCAGAGGGTGAGGAATTCTTGAGAGATCACGGTAGCTTCAAGGTCGTTAGCTATTTCTAAGCACATTTGCTACCTGGGCAAATATTCTTACTATCTTCGGCACCAACTTCTGACCCAATTGTCCAAGTGCTACATTTTCATCTCTTATGCGCTCACAGACAAAAGCTTATCTACATTATTTAATAATATTATTTAATAATGATTGCAAATCGACTAGTTATTGACTATTGAGAAGTTGCACCACTTACTGCAAATCGGTCTGAGCCGTGGTCACATTTATGAGGCTTTGTACAATCAAAAGCGCACCTAGTAAGGCCGAGAAAAACATCGAGGACAACAGCGAAGATCAAAATGACAGCCGACTGACATTCTCCATAAGTAACTCAGATTAATCTGCGTGCAGTAGATATGTCCAACTCCGCCCGACGCTTCGTAGCATAGATGGCGGAGTCGTCAAGTCAGTATGCGGGTCGAACAATCTAATATAATAACCAGTTGGTGATCGTGAGACCTTTCCCCCTGTACACTATGTTCTGCAGCTTCTTCCGCCCTGCGCAGTAAGAAAGATCTTTTCTTTACCCAGCATAACGGTCAAAAGGTCCTACCACTACGTCATTGATATCGGCCAACGCAATGAAGCGGTACGATAACGAGATGCATTCCAAATGCCGTAGTTTTAAACTCGTACCACGCAGAGCACATGCCGCATCAGGCTCATTCTTCAACTTGGCAGACCTCAAAGTAATGCAACCACTGAGCTGTTCTTGCATGAGAGCTCCACAGACTGTCTGGGGTTCGATTCGCAGACGGCCCCTGAACATCAACGTCCCACACCGGTGGAGTCCAATAACACAAAGATCTTCATTGGATTAGTGAGGGGTCGCTCGGGTAATAAAAATCTCGTGGCTCCCAGGATTTGAAACGTGGTTCTCCCGGAAGCACCGGCCAAGACCTCGGACATTGACATCGTCAACCATGGCTCAGATTTTCTTGTGAGTTGGATTTCTCATCGCCGCCTCACCGAAGCAATCAGATATTGACCAGTTGTTCACAGTGTTGGCGGTACAGGCCACATCGGCGGCGCTGTGCTTGAATTACTTCTCAAGCAACATGCGGACGCCAAAGTGAAGGTCTTGGTGCGAGATGAGGCCAAGGCAGAGCGTCTGGTCAGCAAGTACCCGCAGGTCAGCTATGTCGTCGGTGACACGGGCAACTTTGAGCTTCTCGAGAAGTGCAGCAAGGAGGCCGACATCGTCATCAACACCTCCCCGGACATCACGCACGACGCGGGTATCAAGGCGATCCTCGCGGGGCTGAAGGCGCGCGAAGGACCCAAGGGATACTACATCCACACTTCGGGAGCTTCTCTTATCTGGGACGAGCCCGCCGGCTCCAAGGATGCCCGCTGGTGGGACGACATCAAGGACATCAAGGACATCCTCGCCTTCAAGGGCGAAGCCCACACGCACGCCGTGACCGACAAGATCGTGCGCGATGCGGCCTCGGACGTCAACGTGGCCATCGTCTCGCCGGGCTTCGTCGGCGGCATGAGCCCCTCCATCGAGCACCCGACCCCGATCACCACGCCCGCCATCTTCCTGACCGCCCGCGCCATGAAGACGGGCTGGCAAATCGCAGAGGGAGAGAACACCCACGCCTGGATCGACGTCTCTGATCTCGCGAGGATCTTCCTGATCCTCATCGGAAAGGCCATCAACGGCGCGTCCGACTCTGAGCCGTTTGAGCTCTGGGGGCCGGAGGCGTACTACTTTGCCACTGGCGAGGATATCTCGTTCGCCAAGTTCATGAAGCACCTCGTGCCCGTCCTCAAGCAGCACGGCGTCATCGAGAGCGAGGAGGTCAAGTCGGTCAGCGTGGTCGAGGCCGCGAGAACCAGCATGGGTGGAAGCGACTACGACCCCGACGACACGCCGCCGCCGCCTGATACCTGGGCCATGCACATTGCCATCATGTACGGAATCAACATGCGCGTCAGCGCTTCCAGGATGGAGAAGCTCGGCTGGAAGGCGGAGAAGGGCAGCGTCGTCGATACCTTCCCTGAGTTAGTCACCGAGTTTTTGAAGCGGGAGAAGAAATAACTTAGCTCGTTTTCGTTTCTTGCGGACAATATTTCACAAACTGGTAAGATTGGCGGTTGTTTGTAAAAAAAGAAAAGTACATGTATGTGCGCGGGGGGCGGATTGCTCCCCTATTGCTGCAAGGCAGAAATCTACGCATGTGTCTCTAATAGCTTCGCTGCTCACTTAGGCGCTGGGGAGTGTTTTTGCTACAGCGCAGCATTTGATACTGGTTTCAGAAACAAAAAATGTTACATCCTTCATTGAGATCACGAATTACAACACATCTCGTTGCTTTCCAATGTGAATGATCTTAGGTTCGGTTTCCTGCACCCAACTATTTGTGTTAGATTAAGCTATCTATTGAGAGTCAAATTACTCAGGTGGCGTCACAACTTTGGAGTAATGAGTGATTCCAGAAAGACAAGAGATTTACATAAGATGTGCAAAATGAACTGAGAACTGCATAATTATCTGGTCATGAACACAGCCGTAAGCGAGACAGATGTTTTTACCCCGTAGTCTCTTATGTTTTGTCTGTTCCAGTCTCTGCGTCTGTAATCTCACTTATAAAGGAATATGAAACATGAGACCTTGATTGTGTTTAGTACAATCAGAGACGTGAGGCTTTCGAGTGAAGGAAATTTTATTTGAATTTTGTTCAGTAGCATGCATAGTCGAGCAAAAGCTAGTCTGGCTTGGTCAGATATCTTAGATGAAGTGCTTAGCCCGCGATTCAAATCCACTTCCCATCAATCATCTAAAGCGATTGGGTTATCAATGCTCCCGCCCTTGCCTTGCAACTCCTTTCCTTTTGCCACAGATGATAACACAGGCGCTGAACCGACATTCTGTGTTAGTGGATGTCTAACGGAATTAACCTCAGAGTAATGCTTCCTCAGCGTTTTCACAACTTCGCTGACGCTATCTTCTTCGGACTGGCGTGACACTGATAAGCTATTCCCGTTTCTTACCGATGAAGTGCTCACAAGCTCTTCTCTGACTTGATTGGTAGTTTTGAGCGGTGTTGATTTGTCGATTATGTTTGTTGGCTTGCTTGCCACTCCAAGAGCACCTGACGATACTGCCCCTGAGCCTATCTCTTGGGATGAAGAGTCGCCTAATAAGTCCAAGAAATGGTCGTCGTACAATTTGAATTTTGCCGGGGGGTTGGATGTTGCCGATTGTTTCGGCCGTGGCGTTACTCGAGGAGAATCTTCTGCCTTCCTCTTTCGCCCGCGCTGCCTTGTCTGGACTTTTGGTAACGCACTTCTCTTAGAAGCGGGTTTGCCATTTCCGGCTGACGCTTTCTCTGGGCCCTTCCGCCATTCGAAGAATTCCTCGTCGGACATTCCCCAGCTGAGAACCGCGTCCAGCATCACAGACTGGACACTTTCAATAGGCTTCTCCACGATGTCGCGGTCAGCTTCTTTTCCAGTCGAAACCCCGTTAAGCACAGGCATTCCCTGAGGGCATATAGCTTCCTCAATGCCTGGAAATATCTGGCGTGGGTCAATGTCGACAACGCTAGTGACCTGACTTTTCTGCTTCACATTCTTGACGAGATCGCGAGCGCCGGGTTCTTGGGCCAACAACCTCTGGTTCAATGCAACGGGCGCCAGGTGACGAAACCACCATTTTGATGGCTTGTTGTAGTGAAATCTGTCTCTCATGTACGGTATGGTCGTGCGCAAGCTCTCTGTGGAATAGCGTTTGTACCAGTCCCCGTGTATGCAGTCTAAGTTGCTTAGTTCGTTGTCGCTGGAAACTTTGGGATTCCGGCAATATCGCAACGCTTGAAAATTCGGAAACTGGCTGATGTTTGATTTGCCTTTGTCGAACTGAGATCGCAGCTTTGGGTCGAGAATGCCCCATTGGGCCTCAAGTCGCCTTCGCCACGCATTCCAGCTGCTTTCACCCGCATCGGCCGATGTTGCTGAAAACTGTTCCACAAGTATCTTCTTTGTAGCCAACTCTCGACCAACAGCTGTACCACAGCCGTGCAGGCCTTTGGTGTAGTCGCACCCCGCCATCATGGCATACAAAACGATACCATTCGCCGAAATACCCGTCTTCTGTTCGATATCTCTCAGCCGGTAGACTTTTGCTTCGTCCTTGCTCTTTTGTCCATTGCTTTTGAGGAGATTTTTGACAAGGACATCGCACCCAAACATAAGGGTATCCGAGTCCTCCGACCATACCGCATCCACTAGGCCTAGCCTCTGTAGGGCAGCGCATTCAGCCTCGGCTTCGCCAGGAGCCTGACGCCAGGGTATGTGAAGTTTCGTCAAGGTCTCCTTAAAAAAACCGCTGTTCTCTTCCCTGGCCCTTCGTCCTGTAGAATCCTCGGTCTTCTTGTCGCGCTTGACATCTGGCCGTCCTTCACCATCGAACACAAAGATGATCTCGATACCGATGTGCATCAGGGACCAAATGCGGTCGAGCATGTTCAATTCGCGTGGTCTGGCGGGAGGAGTCCCTAGATGAGCAGATGTTAGATGTGCCTCATTTTGGTTATTGGGCAAGTGTGAGTAAGGATTCGGGAGGAAAGAGCACAAGCAAGCTGGGTGCGTGGGACGTCAAACGCAATAGAGGAGTGTGACGACGAACTTCTTTTGATCTCCTCGAAGGCTTCAACAGTGATGGCTTTGTAACGCCAGTGCGCTTCGTCTATGGCTATGCGAAGTGGCCGACGATGTTTCTTGATGTGGTCCGTAGACCATTGCGCTAGCGACGTGACGACGCCTGCCTTGTCGATGATATCCCAGAACCTGAAATGGACATTAGCTGGTGCAAAGGTGATCTATCCAAGGTTTGAACTTGCCCGTTGATACCCATCTCTGAATCTAGGAAGAAAGGGCGTCTGACTTGGATGAGGTTTGACAAAACGCGTATCGCGGGCAGCAGCTACTGGTTTGAGATCGAATCCAAGGGCGGCAAACCGACGACTTAAATACGTGAAAAGAAAGAGGGAGCCGTATAGAATTAAATCGAAGCGAAAAGAATGAATGCAGCCGCGCAAGGCAGGTGTATCTAGATCCGCGACGCGAGAAAAGCAATAATGCGTTGCACTGTGAACCTGGAGGGAGATTTCACAGTAACTTCCAAAATAGGCAAAGTGGGCCCCGACTACCGGAGGTGAACGGAGGTCGACGCGGAAAGATCCCCGGAATGGTTGAGACGTGAGAGTTTCCTCGATTGACAGGCTGAATTGTAGTCAAAATAGAGTAGAGGGGAGAAAGAAAGAAAAAAGAAATAAACGTGGAGTGGGCGAGAGCGAAGGGACGCTAGGACGAAGAAGGCACTGTGCAAATGGCAGCAGCAGAAGGCGCAAGTGAAGCATCCCAAGGCAGGTGCCATGGGGATATAAGGAGGTTCAGACCTCCAGCCAGGCAACAGCGGGTGTAGCGGTGACCGTGAACATGCCGAGTATGGCCCAAATGTCAGCTCAACACGAGTTCACTATATCCAACGCTGGGGCTAGAGGTTCGAATCTCGTTGGGATTTCTTTTTTTCCTCTTACGTCCCCGTTTCCTAGCGTCCTACTTTCCAGGCACCGACAGATATGTTTGTTCGTCAACTAGATAAAGTATGAGCATTGCAAGAGGGTATACACTAGTAGTACAAGTACAGTCATGACCTGTAGTCATGATGGGTCTCGCGGCCCTGTCCGCCTCAACCCCCGTCAACGCCGTCGTAGTGCCCAATGAATCATACCGCGTCCCCGCGTCATCTTACATCTTGATACCCCTAGCATTCACCTCACCCTTCTCTCCAATGTTCAGACGTACGCGACAATCGGGGCAATACCACTTCGTCGTGCGCGCGGGTATCTGCGCCATGCCCACACACTCCAGGTGGAACCATTCCTTGTCGCAGTTCTAGGCAACTTGTTAGCTCAAGCGGATGCTCACGTCAAACAGAGAGACTTACTTCGTTATCGCATGCAATCATATCCCCGAAGCTAACGCGGTTGCAGTCGCAATATCTCGGCTCGTCGGGATCAATCGGGTTTCCCTCATCGTCTTCCTCTAACTCAATCTCGATCGGCTGGCCCTTCTCCTTCTTTTGGGTTCGCTTCTTCTTCGGCGCGGCCTTTCGCTTAGAGGCGGCACTACTGCCTCCAGCGTTCGTCTTGCTGACGATACCTGGCGCGGGCTTTCTGGTTCTCTTGCTCGGCTGTCTAATCTCTGGCACAGGAGTGTTCCTAGCGGTACTAGTTCTACGGGGTCGCTCGGCGGCCAGTGAGGGCTGTGGTTCTTGACTACTGGCTTTTCCTCGCGAGCTGGGACGACGACTCTCCGGGACGGGTGTGGTGCCTGGCGTCGCCGCCCGGGAGGACGACTGCTTGATAGACGGAGCGGCTGACGATGAGCGGTGTACGAGCGGCAGCTGGGGCTGCGGCACAGATGTAGGAGGATCAACTTGTTGCTGGGTTTTCTTAGCTTCGCCCCTTGTCTCTCTACGTGTTCCGGGGTCACGAACAGGTGGAAGAATTGGTGTCGTTGACTTTTTGGGAGACAACACCGGTGGTGGAATCGGCGTCTCGGCCGGTGGCTTTGTTACAATGTTCGCCGGGATGGGTGCGGGAGGTGGTCCAGCTTGAACGACAGAGCCAGTTGGCGATGACGCTGGTGCACTTGTGTTCGCAGGCTTTGGCGCAGTATTTGTCCCAGGTGCATGCTCCTGACCTGGCACAGGGATGGGCACCGGCGTAGTCATCTTGGGCGTAGCAGCGGAACCTCCTGGCGTGAGGACCGGCGGCGGAATGGGAGTTTCGGTCAACGGCTGAGAGGCAAGATTGGCTCTCAGATTCGGCAGCGGGACGGGAGTCTCCGTCTTGGTGCGCTTCGGTGCCGGACGTGGCGCCGGCGTTTCGACTACTTCTGGCTTCTCAGCTTCCGCCTCTGGGATGGAGTCTCTTTTCCGCTTGTTGCCATTCGCCTTCGGCCTAGACCTCGAGCTTGACTTGGGCGCTGCTTTTGTCTGCTCGTTGTTGGCAACTGACGGTGCGGGTGGCTTGTCGCTAGACATTAAAAGCCGCGCTGCCTCTCTGAACTGCCGGGCGGATTCCTCAGCCTCCTCGGCCGCCTGTTTGGCTAACGACTCCCGCTTCAACTTCTTAGCTTCGTTCAGTTTCATACCCCTGTTGCTCAGCTGAATGTCGTCGGATGCGAGAGCAGCAGCACTTATAGCGCCCTCGGGAATCGGCTTATTCTCAGATCCAGCATCAGGCGCAAGAGCCGGCGGAACCTGATCAAAGGTTCTGCCTTCATCCTCGGCCTTCTTCTTTGCCTCCTTGTAGGCATCAATACCACGACCGAGTGTCTTAAGCTCTCGCAATATCATAGTATCGCTTGGGTTCCATGTAGCGTTCTTCTTCATGCGCTTCCTGAGCCTAGCAAGCTCCCAGGGCGTCAGCTGCAGCCAGGGAGCATCCGTGCTTCCTATCACGGCGTTCTCCGGTGGCGGCTGCAACGCAGCGGCAGGAGTGGCTGGCACAGTGTGGACCTTAGGAGGACGCGAAGCCGGTGCTTTCGGGGTCTTTGGAGGTCTTGCTTTGGGTGTTTTGACGACCTTGATTCTTGGTGCAGGCGTAGACCGGGTAGGTGGAAGAGATTCCTCATCCTCGGAGGAGGAGCTTTCGTCGCTATCATCCGAGTAGGCCACAAACTGGTCGTATGGCGGAAGAACCTCACCGGGAACAGTAATCCTAGGAATCCGTGGGCGCCGCACCTTCTCCCCATCCCCGGTCCGCATCATCTTGGGTGCTCTGACCATCTGCGGCGACTTGGATGTTGCCACAGGGCTCTTCTGCTCCTCCGCGGGATAGTTCTCCATCATGTTCTTCAACTTCGCCAGGATCGCATTTGCGCGATTATAATGCCGGTTGACGTTCTCTGACATGCGCACCGCCTCGGCATGCGAGTACACCCTCGAGCTGACAGCATGGTTCAGACTGCTTGAGATATCGGCGCGTAGCTGTGTGGGTGACGGCCGCTCGTCGGCCGGAAGACTGGGAAGCTTGCCCCAGGTGGAGGTGAGGTTGTGGACGTTGAGGGAGGCCTCGGAGTATGTCTGGTCGAGCTTGCCGATCAGGGTAAGGGATCGCATCATATCGGAAGGGAGGTACTCTGTGAAGTCGAGAAAGTCGGTGACGGTGGCTTGCGCATCGGGATCGGCGCGCATCTCGAGAGATTCGACGGAGTTGCTGATGGAGCCAAGCGACTGGCGGATGTCGTGCTCGACCGTGGTCTTGTTTTTGGGCGACACATCGACGTCCATGGCGTCGCCGGCGCGCTCCTCGGTGGTGGCCATCTTTGCTGAGCTGAAAATATCTCTGCGGCCGCTTCTTCGGAGCGCTAATCCCTATGAATGCATTTGTATCGTAAGTTGCGATTGTGGGTGTTGGTTGCACTGCAATTCGGTGCTGCGCATACTTTGGGATGTTGTCGGCTGGCGCGTTTGCGAGGGGAGTCGCGACCTTGAGCGTCGCCCAGTTTAGCTTGGGAAGCTTCCTGACGCTAGCAGGAAGTAGCGGGGCCCCTGACATCCACTGACAGATCCTTGTTGAGCTGACCTTGACTTGGTCTGTGCTTGTTGTCGGAACATACAACTTCCATATCCGAGCTGCCGCTGGGCTCCACGGCGGCTCGAGCACGGGCCCGGTCAGTATCTTTCCGTCACGGTGGACCTCGCCGACCCAGGTGACTCTTTAGTGTCAATGATCAACAATGCCAATCGAGATCGTCACACGCAGCTTTCGACTTCAGAGCTGAAGCCATTCAGCTGCATCTTAGGCAGACGTGTTTTGTCTTTCTCTAAACTATAGGCTCTTGGAAATACATAACAATCTGCGGAAGCATCATTCAATCAAGGACACTTCAATTCAGCATGTGTCTAAAAATAGCCCATTGAAGAACTCCCAACGCCGAAAAGCGAACGGACAAAAGCCTCCCAACGCCGTATCGTACAAACAATGTTTCCCGCCGGTCGTTTCCCATGATTCCAACTCAGCTAGCCCGATTACCTCCCCTGCATCCCACGTCCGTCTTCCAGGACCCCGGGAAGACTCTCGCATGCATGTCTCAGTTACACCACCCACATCCCATCCCATGCTTCACCAGCGCGCTTCCTCCTCGCGGCTGATAATCGCACCCCAAATCTTTTCCTCCTCCTCAGCTTGAAACCCAGAGTTCTCGCCAATGATGGTCAGCGTGCCATACAACGTCATCTTTTTGCATTTTCTACATCGCGACATCGTCAGCATTACGATCACTGTCGTGCTACACCCAAACGAAGGGGGCATCTGCGACTTACAGAAAGCCATTGATCGTCGTGTTCCCATACACCTCGAGCTCCTTGGCCTCGCATGTACCGGTAACTCTCAACTTTCCGAAGCCTTTGATCTTGTCACTGAACCAACTTCATCAGCTTCCAGTCAGTCAAGTGCTTGAAGCCGGTCGTATTGCTTACCCGACAGACATGTATCCCGCCACATTGATGTTGCCATACGCCTTCATCTTGCCCCTTGCAAATTCATCAGCACCCAAAATCTTCCAAGGCCCGAATTCTCCGAAGACTTACTCGCAGGACAGGTTTCCATTGACTTCAATCCCCCCATATGCCTCCACTTTATCCCGGACGTCAAAGTCTCCATTGAACGTGATGTTACCCCCCGACCTCACCGACCCAGCAACCTCGATGGGTCCCTGGAGCGTGATCTCGCCCTCACTCTTGATGGACTTGGATTTGAGCACCGTCTGCTTGGGCGTTCCCGGGTCCGCAGTCGTTGGTGCCGTCGTCGACGAGGAAGCATAATAGCTGTCCGTTCCCGCCGGTGATGCGTACTGCTCTTCGTAGTTGTGTTCTCGCGTGCTCTCCTGGCCTTTCTTAGACGACTTCTTGGATCTGGAAGAAGACATTGGGAAAAATCAACAGACACGCAGCAGCAAATGCAGAATAATATTGAGAATAATGCGCCGTGAAAGAAGAGTGCAATGCCATCTAAACCTCATCTCTATTCGAGGAGATCCCAAACTCATATATGGAGATCCCCGAGTCCCCACGCTCCTCGAGAACGCCGTCCTCGAACAAAAGTCATCGATATCCCACTGACAAACGCCTCAGCCGCATCATACAACCCACAGAGAAGCACGCAAAGCTGAACACTCCAGGTTGCATCCGACGCAATTTCACTCTCCTCTCCCGCCGCGAACCCCAGCAAGAGTCAACCTCGACCATTCCCACCTCCGCGCAGAACATGACCGGTCACCACCAGAAGTAAGGGCCCGAGAGCACCAGATAGGCAACCGATCGACCGTCACGCAACGTCGAACAAGCATGCCCACCTGCGCTAAGATGTGCATGTCCCAAGAAATGCAAGGCAAATCATCGTCACCACCATCCCAAGAAACAAAACACCATGACCCTGGCTGCACATCACCGCCCTGCGCCGGGCAAATCATCCCGCCCTCAACCATCCCTCCCCAAGCGCGGCAGACGCTGGAGCACGCATCCATCCCGTTCGTGACCATGACCATGTCCGCGCCCCCATGAACACCTGAACACACTCCTCTCCATAGTCTCAGTTCATCACCAATACCCGGGAAACAGAACCCCTGGGTGCCTCCCCGAACCCCGGTGGGACCCGCAAAAAGCAAGCCTGACAAGAAACACAGTCCAAGTAACCCGCCTTTCGGTATCAAGCCCCGCGCAAATCATCCCGACCCGACCTCCTCGGTCACCAGGAGGAGGGGGAGGCCGCAGCCTCGCCTGCACCCTTACAAAGAAAAGCATGCCCAATGTCCGACCACCTCGCTACATCAACCAACGAAGAAAAAGTGAGCTCGCCTCACCAAAACATGCATTGATTAAGAGCGGGCAGAAAAAGGGTGCCTCAGCTGTGTTCTCCGCCGCCCATGTCGCGTAGACACCGCAGCAAAGCCCGAATGAAGTGCTCCTTCTTTCCAGGCTGCCAGGCTCTTGCGTCGTCGCATTCTTGGGCTCGTCCTCCACCACCACCCCCCACACCCCTTCAGCCCTACGTCGGCTGCCCGACCACTCAACTCGACTCCTCCTCCAGCCGGTCCCCAATCAGGCGCCAGAGACATTTTCCCGCTAGCGCGCTGCACAGAGCCGATTGATATGGACTAGCCTCCAGCTCTATTGTCCAGGCGAGGCTGACTGCGGGTTCATCATGACCGGCATGTCACCCCCGAAAGGGCAAGATCGTAGCAACGAGACCAATGTATGCCTAGGTTTACTGCATTCAAAACCGGTTTCTGGGAGCCCACACCGAGACACAGCTTTTGAAGAGATATTGAGTTGTGCATTACTCAAGATAGATACGAGAGAGAAAAAGGAAAAGCAAAAAAAGCAGAAATGGTATACAGAAGCTTGATGACTGACGGAGCAAGGCGCAACATCCATGTTGTGCACCTTTCGCAGTCCCCGTGGTCCGTCCCAAACAGATGGCCAGCCTACTCTTCTGCCCGTTACAAAGCTGCAAAAAGCAGCTCGCAGTAAACCCGCCCATGGCTGATGACGAGTTGCCCGACAAACTCCTCTTGAACCCAAAAGCAATTCCCAAGTCTGCCCCGCCAAGCTGGCCGTCCCCCCAGTTTACAGTACAAAGTGAGGCAAGCTCTCCCCACACTTATGCCTCTCCGCCACCGACGAAGCCGAGGCCAACGCCAGTGAGGAATGCAGCAGCAACCCAGGCACCGGCGTAAAGGGCAGCACCATAAGACTCAACGCCGTTGACCGTCATGAAAGTCTGCAAGTATGTGTTGACTCCAGTCAAGATCATAGCCACCGTGGTGCGGAAAATGACGACCTTTGCGCGTGTGGTGTAGCCCCACAGGTTCCAAGCCAGGGTCTCGCCCAGCGTAGCCGTGGCGGGGTCGAACTCCTCCAGCTTGCCATCCTCTGTGGTCTTGCCGGTCGCCACAAATGGTGTGAAGATGTAGGTCTTCGCGGCGATACCAAACGCCAACGTCACAGGGAGCGTGGCCACGAAGTTGGAACCGTACGCAGGCTCCAACGTGGGCAGACCTTTGAAGTACATCACCAGTGCCGTCGGCAGATACGTCTTGTACGAGACAAAGAGGGTAGCGCTGTAGGTGGCCGCCGCGAGGACTGTGGTGAAGATGGTGATCGAGACGTCCGAAAGGAGTTCGCGGTTGGCGACGTTCTTAGCGCCGGCGTGCGCGCCTGACAGAGGCCTAAGGAGCTGGAACGGCACGAAGGTGGAAAGCATCTCGATGCCCAGCGCAGAGATCGCGGTGGCAGGGCTGATCTTGTAGAAAGTTGCAATGAGGTAAACCTAAAAATATCTTCTCGTCAGTACGCCGAAAAGCTTGATCCGGACGTCTCCAAACCACCGTCCACAACGAGGTTGAACATACCGGTGGACCATGCGCGAGCAAGTTGAGCGCAGCGAGATCGTAGCTGTCGAAGTTGCCGAACCAACCCAAAGCAAGCTCGAATCTGTCCAAAGCAGACCAGATCAGTAAACGCGCACTCAATGCGGTAATCGCGAACCCAGGGACAACTCACATTCTCCATCCAGCCAGTGTCGCGACTTCTCCCCAGGTATCAAGGCTCTTGGAGATGCCTGCGAGCTCTCCGCGACTCCACTCGCTAAGGAAGCTGTAGCATAAGCTCGAAATGCTGAAGCTCAGAACTGCGACGAGGGGGAACTGTAGCGCGGTAGGAAGGTGCGAGCGCTGTCGTCTAGGGTGCTGGTGGTCGCGATCCCTTTCGCTGATCTGCTCTGTGATCTCCTCCTTTGTCGTGACCTCTGTCGCATCCTTAACGACGCCGAGCGCTTCGAGCTGTCCATCAGGCGCGGTGGCCAGGGTCTCGAGGTTGCTCGCGACAGGTTCGACCGCGCGAGTCTTGGTCTCGTCAACGTCGATGTCGACGTCTTCGACAGGCCGCGAGGCAGCTCTTCTCCTGAGAGTAGGCATTGTGATTTGTGTTTTTGGTTTGTTGTGGAGGTGTTCTGAGTGAGTGTCTGCTTCGAAGAGCCGATTAAAAGGAGTAAGTGCACCTAGCGATGCGCCCAGTAAGAGGGGTTGAGGAAAGGAAAAATCGGGCGATAGCACGATAAGACGACGCGAAGCGCAGCTACCGTTTGCGACTTGCGACAGAATGAGCTCAAGAAGGTAAGAGGGAGAAAAAAGTGAGACCTTCCTCTCCCACCAATACGGGTAATCGTGGCCTATGATGTTGACGAGTGGAGAAGAAAGCTGTGCCTGCGGGTAAGGTGACGTCGCCGGGGAAACATCAGCTAGAGGAAGGTGGTGAGAGCGAAGGACGCTGGAAGGGCCCGCAATGGCTGATTGCCTTAGGTAAGGCAGCTGGGCTGGAGGCCACGACAGCTGGCGGTAGCTGGCCAACGGCCCGGCGCCGCTCGTCCGTCCTGCTTGTTGTCGCTGCTGCCACTGTCTGCTCATTCCCCATACCGCCGGCCCCCGAACGACCGCCGTGCTTCCGCCCACTGCAGCACCCCAAACTCCACAGCGAGCGGGTGCTCGCAAGGATCGAATTTTACTTGCTCCGTTTATTCGATCCGTATATTGCAGAGTTTTCTCTTCTCTGCTTTTTTCCCTCCTCTCCTGCATGCTTTCATCATCTTCCTCGCCAACCTAGAAACATAAAATACCCAATTGCCTCCCTCGCGTCTCGGGCCCAAACATTTCCTCTCTCTCTAACGCTCTGTTCCACCAGCCTCCCGTGTGCTTGCCTGGGTGCCTGTGTGATCTTCAAAGCTTGATGAGCTCACATGCAAATCTTCGCCTTCGGGAGCAAAGCTCCGGGGATGCTGCCTGGTTAAGTTTGTTGCTGGCTTGAGCCTGCCAACCTGCCGCATCAATCCAGCCAACCATCGCCATGGTAAACAAGAGCCACCGACTACAGCCAGTCATTTATTGCCAACCATCTTCGTCATCAAGGCCAAACAGGTCACAAGTTGCACATGCCGATTTTTGATCTTTTTTTCTCTTTATTTCTTATGCTGGCGTCAAACCGATCAAAAGAGCTTGCGGCCATTCTTGTGGACATCGCACTCGTTTGTATCGTAAGATCCATCAGTGTGATAGTTTGGGCGTTCGCTCGACGCCTTCTCCGTCTCTCACTTTAACCTCGTGGAGATGCAATCTCGATCTCCTTCCCCCCGGCGCCCAACGCCTTGCTCCCCCTCCCATGGCCTCGCCATGATGATGCAAGATCGGGCCCTCCACTCCTTGGTGCTGAGAGATCGGCGGCGGAGACAGAACCACCTCATTTACAGGGTTTAGTATATGGTGGTACAAATGAAACATTCCTCCCCTCGTCTTCCCCTCGCGGTCATGAACTCATATCCTCAGATATCGTCGGCATCAATGATCGATGGCAGAAGCGCTACTCTTCCATCCGTCCGAAAACGCCATCATCGTCCTCGTCGCTTCGAGATCGAGATCTACGGTCAAAGTCGTCATCGTCCATGACGCTGTCGTTGTCCTCCATCTTGACATCGGCGCCGCGAACTTCACCGCGAGTGAAGCTCTCGGGCTGTCTGCTGGGGAAGCTGCTGAGGAATCCTGCGCTGAATCCTGCGCTGAAGCCACCACTGAATCCTGCACTGGAGAACGATGCGGCTTGATCGAGGTATTGCGCGGGTAGAGGAGGCACGGGAGGAGCGTCAGCGGGAACACCCACCGGGCGCCCGTTGTTGCTGTTGAAACTGCAGCTCAGGAGCTCGACGGCAGCCGCAAGGTCGCGGTCTTCTTGGCCAGTAGCATTCCTTCCTGACGACAGTGGTCGCTGGTCTTGGCTGTTGTGGCGGAAGTGGTGGGAGATTCCTGAGTCATGGGGCATGCTGCCCGTCACGAGTGGGTTGGTAGAAGGCGCAGATTGATACGACCGACCGAATCCGCTTCCAGAGCCAAATCTCTTCGCGAACGAACGATCCGACGAAGCAAAACCTTCCAATTGAGGCGGAGGAGTGGTATCAGCAGAGCTGTGCCTCTCGTCCGAGTATCCAGATGCCGCCGGAGAGGCAGACTCTTGGTCACTGGGGAAATCCTTGGCAGAATCCGGGGGCGTGGCCGCGTCGGCCTCGGCCTCGTCCTTACCATGGTTCATTGTCAGAAGGACAGATGCTGCCTCGAGTAGTTGCACTTGTTGGTGCTTAGAGATGAGGAGCTTGGAAGTCAAAGACCACTCGGGAGTGTGTTCCCACCTGACGAGAGAATGAGTCAACAAACCGCCCGACTACTACATTGATGATACCAGGTCCATCGTTCGGATCCCGAAACTCGGGACGGGAACTGGAGAACGGGGATGCGGGGAATGGGGAAGGGAACGAACAAATGCTTGGTCAGGCAACTGCTGTGCTTGTATCCCTTTCCGCAAGTCTCGCACTTGAGCTCAACGCGGTTGAACTTCCTACTGCCCTCCTTGACGAGAGGCTGGCCATCGCTAGCGCGACGCATGCGAGCCTTTTGCATGTTATTTTCGCCCTCGTCGCCCGATGCGTTGTTCGGTTCGTCCTCAATTGCGTTCTCGTTGACGTCCATCTTGCCGTCCAAGTGGAACTTCTGCGTTGGCAGGCTCGCTGGGGGAGAAGGTAGGCTCCCGACGATTGCGGCGCGAGCGGCAGCGCTCTTCGACGTCGTGTTACGGCGAGAGCTCACGGCAATCGGCGTGACCTTATCCCCTCCGACTTCTCTGATCGCCGCTGCCATGGCTGCCGCGTTCGCTGCAGTGTTCGTCATGGACTTTCGGCGGGTGACACGGTGGTTGGCATTGAGGGCGCCGCTGAGGATGGAGTGGGAGTTGGTACGCGAGTGGGATTGTCGGGTGGTAAGTCCGGAAGAAGAGGCAGACGAGAGCGACGGACGGTGCTGGTTCAATGGCCTCGTGGTCTGCTGCATTTCCTGAAGACGGACGACGAGTAATCAGCACGAGAGACTGGGTTGCGGATGCGTGATAGGAGCGAGCTAGGCAGGGCAGGGCATGGGGTAGAATCCCGAAGTCGGGCATACTTTTGAGGAGGCCATTGCCGACTACCGATGCTGATCAGGTTCGACGCGGGAGGTCGAACACTTTGTGAATCGCAAAATATCGTAGAAACGTGGTCGTTTGTAGAAACGGTGGTGTTTTGGTGGTGTTGTTGGACAGTGTTCGGCGAGTAGGCAGGTGATGAGTGAGTCGCAAAGACAAGCCTCCGGACGCAAGAAATAATATTATTTTGGGGAGGAGCAGCAATTCAGCAGGGGTGTGTCTGTGGGCGGGTGTGCCTAGTAGCTCCGAGCTGGGCCAGCCGACAGCATGTGGTGGTGGTGGTGGTACTGGTAGTGGTGGTATTGAACAGTTAAGGGTGTCTTCCTTTGGAGGGGGTTCTAGGGGGGTTTAGTCGACTGATGATCAACAGGGCTTTCGAGGTCCAGGCCGGCTTCAACTTTTTTGTTCTTGTGCTGTGTTCTGTGTTGCTTTGTTTTGTATGGATGGAAGCTGAGTGAGAGCAAAAGTTGTGGGCTCGAGACAGAGGACGTTTGGAAGAGGGACCCAAAAAGTCCAGCGATGGGCGAAACGGACCAGACAGCCCTTTCCCAAGTTGCCAGAATGAAAGAGAATCGCTGGTCGGGGACGAGGGTCTGTCTTCATTGGCCGCTTTAGCAACAAGATCACTGCCAGAAGGAGGGATGGAGGGGAGGGGCACAGTCTCCTCTCTCTGCCTCTCTCCCGCCGTCTGTGTCTCTCTCTGCGTCTCTTCGTCTCTCGCTCTGCCCACGACACTCCCTCCCACGTCCTCATTGCTCACCTTTCGCCATACTGTGCTTTGTACCGCCGTAGAGCGCCGCCAGACAGCGAAAGAGGAGAGGAAGGGTGGAGGTATGTGGTGATGGACTGGGGATGGGGGTGGGCCGTGGAAAGAGGGGCGTAGACTTTGGAGTTTGGTTGGAGAGTGGAAGAAGTGTTCATGGGTGGGCAACCGGGGCGGGCACGGTATGGATGGTGAAGTGAAGGTACCTCCTGCCCCCATCCACCTTGCGCAGCCGCAGGAGCAGAGAGAAGGTGTCCAGTGTCAATTGCTGTCCCACAGTGTAAGGTACTTCGTACAAGCCGCCAGGTAGCACCACGCGCTCGCTCCGGTGGTGGGAAGTGGACGACGACGCTGTGGACAGCGGACGGGCGCCAGGAACAAGGAGCATGGAGCATGGCCCGTGGTGTGTCCTTGTCCCCTCTGGGCTTGCCCTGGGCCGCCGCTGGACCAGCGATGGTCGGCCTCCCGAGCGATTGCTGTGTCCGTAGGGCGCCGGGGCGGCGGGGAAAGGTCACTCGCAGAGGGGTGAGCTGATCAATTTTGGGAAACCAGTCTATTCAGACCCAGGCCCAAGTTGCAGCCCCCGTCCCCATGTTCAGTCCAGCCAGATCCATCAACCAATCCTTGCTGATTCAAGCCCGATAGCGTGCCTGGGTTGCATGTCGTAAATAGCAATGGGCAATTTTATGTCCGGCACTTTTATCCTCTCGAAGCTGATGTGCGCGAAGCGATGGTTCTGAAAAAGACTGCCTACAGCAGTTAGTTATTGCGAGCCTCGTTCAGCAGAGTTGCTCATGCAGGCGGTAGAGACGAACTCGGGTTAGGTGTAGGCGTGGGATGTTTTTGGAGAGAGGCATCCACCGTCAGCGCAAAGCCAAACGTAATGAGATGCCCCAGCAAAGGACCGCCGTTCTTTGTTGGTACGGTGCCTCGCCCGTCTCACTCCCAAAGATGGTGGACTCGTGCCTTGCTCTGCCCGGACAAAGGTGGCTTAATTTGGCTCGGGTGGCCTATTCTTCCCTAGTCGATTCCCCTCGCCGTGCTCTCGTCTGAAGAGAGAAATGGTAGTCTTGTGCCAGCCTTTTTTGTTCCCTCTTTTTTTCCCCCCTTCATCTTCCCATTGGAGTTGATTTGACGAAAGAGGCCGTTCGCGAGGGAACCCAGTGGAATGATTGAGAGGATGGGTTCAGGAAATGCCATGTCTTGGGTTCAAGCGAGAGGCTCGTCGTTCAGCAAAGTGGCATGTTTCGGCGACCGCCAGACGCTTAGTTGCGTTGCACCCCACGACAGCTTCTCTCCCCTGCCTGCTGGCTTGACAACTCCGTCAGGTACCCGTAGGTGTATCCGTCCAACCTCGACCGGAAGTCCATCCTTTGCTCCCGGGCGCGGCCAGGAGTCTGGAGATGGAGCATTGGTCGCCTCCGTTTCTCAATTAAATGGAGAAGTGGCTCCTCTTCGGATCAGGAACGAGAGTTAGAGGACGCGGGGAGGAACGCAGTAGCAGCATCCGTAGCTCTGCCGTGTTTTGGTTTCGATGGTTTGCCATGCCATGGCCTGCCTTGCCATGTTGTCCATGCCGCGTTGTGCTGTGCGAGCTTCAAGGTTGTGAGCTGTGTGAGCTGTGCGCAATGCGCTGTGTTGTGCTGTGCCGTGGACGAATGAGGGGTAGCAGGCCGGGACGAGAGACAGGAAGCTTGGGGAAGGTGGAATAAGCAAGCGCTGCGTGTCTGCAAAGTACAGATATTGAAACTCGGATGGATGATGTGCAGCGTTTCTTCAATTGCCGTGTGTGCCTTGACATCGGCTCGGGTAGACATTGAGACAGAGAGCTCTTTTCCTGAGTTGGTTTCTGTTGCTGTCAACGTACATGTTCGCAGGCTTCCACTTCTCCATCACCTCCTGCCAATCAATTGAGTGGTGGTAAGAACCGGAGATCTCAGCAGGCCGGAGAGAACACCAAAAGAAACAATAAAGAAAACAAAATTCCCCGACGGTTCTGTTGATCGTTGATCACACGGGAGCCAAGCTAGAGACAGTTCTTCGACGGCGCTGTTGGGCTGATCAGCATTGGGGAAGCTCGCTCTGGGTAGGTGCTCGCACTAAAATTATGCTGCTGGAGAAGCAGGAACCAGTTCTTGCACAGTGCAGAGCCATTTGGTTAAGATGCAGAAAGATACCTCGCCCTGCCCTCCCTCAGAGAAACCACACGCCCATCAGTGCTACAGTCACGCCCCCGGTGCAGTTTACAGTGTCAGTTTGGAGACGCGGTGGTGGGACACTGTGTGGCGATGGCTAGCCAGCGCTCTTGCGACCGCACAGTGGAGACAGTGTACGGATACCTGGGGAAAGTCCGTCCGTATTGAGAGAGGCAGTGACGTAGTTGCTTCCGACTGTACAAACACAGACCAGGTCTCAAAGTCTCCATTCTTGTCAGATCAGGGGCAGCAGGTGCAGTTCCATGTTGAGCGGAAGGCACGGTGGAAAGCAAGGGGAAAGAAATGCCTCTTGTCGAGGAAAGAAAAAAAAGTTCAGATAAAAAAAAAACGCGGTACACAGTTGAATTGCAGAGTGCGACAGCAACTGCGACGATGGAGAGAGAACCACTGGCCAATTGGTAGGTGGTAGGGTATTACTGACTATCCGTATCTACTGCCACCACACCACCCACACGCCCCTCCTCTGTCTCTTCCCCTCTTCCTTGTCACTTCACTTCAGGTTGCTTTCCAATCCCATTCCTTGCCCAGCTCGTCCCCTATCCTGCCTTAGGTAAGGGCATCGCAGTCCAGCCAAATCGCCAGCGACGATGTGCTAATCGTGCCCCCAAGAGGATGGCCGGGCGGGCTCTGCACTTGGCGACCTTTCCGCCTGGGGCTGCCACACCTAATCCCTCCTCACCACCACCACCTCCAACCACCAAGGCGTTCTGGTCCAATGCAGGCCCCTCCCGGTGACCACAAATCACAGGACTCACCCGCTGGGACGGTCTGCCTGAAGTTATCCAGCTTGTTGGTTGCCGTTGGGGCGGCCAGGAGCGAATCCGATGGAGAGGCTGCCCGAGTTTGGGGCTTTCTGACGCTGCTGTGCTGGCTGGCGCGTCAGTCAACGCCGCCGCCCCCGTCGTCGTATGTATATGTACGCACTTCCTGATGCATACGATGCGATGCCATGCGACGGCGAATCTTTATGCTCGGCTACGTTACCTCGCCTGTCCCTACCTGCTAATTGCCTCGAATTCGTCAAGCGCACGACTCCCGCAGACCACAGTCGCCTCATTCGTGTCCTTGCTGGCCATGAATCCGCTGATCCCAGAGAACTCTCTTCTGAGGTCTTTACCGCGGCTCGCATTACGGATCCCGCAGTCCCGGGAAAACGCTCTATCCCAAGGGCCGTCTCGCTCCCGTCTCGTCATTTCCGTACTAGAGCGCCGCCAGAGCCATTCGGGACGGTCAGCTGCTCCCATCTCCCTTCCATCGGGCACCATGCGGCCTGCTGCTCTGGGCAAGTCGGGTGGGCTTTCGTGGCACTGGCGGCACGCCGCTCCTCCCGTCGGTCATTGTGCTCTCTCCGATGCAATCCGTCGCTGAAGTTGTCTCTGCCCGCCGCCGCCTCACCGGTCAGAATGGACCACGTTCGCCACTTGACACTACTTCCCCGGTATCTGCGCTTTTCAGGTGTGGTGTAATATCTAAGCAGCGGGCAGGAATTTCACAGGGCAATGGGAAGATCGTCAGCGAAGAATTCCTTCCAGCACCGGCCGGCCCGCCAGTGACCGGACCGGACATGTACACGCCACACCACACTGCAAGTTGGCAGCGAAGAGTGAGGGCTTGTTTTGCTTGAGTCTTGAAAGCTTTTCGCCTTCTCAATGCACCTAGCATGCAACCAGTGCGTCACTGGGCGCAGCCGTCCAAGTCCAGGCTGGGTTGATCGGAGTTTCAGTTGCCAAAACTGACGCTTTGAATGCATCCAAGACATCCTCGGCGTGTCCCGTTGTTCGGGCTTGAATGTGTCTTAAACGTCGAATGAAGTCTTCTGGTGGCTCACAATGGGGTCATTCAGCCTGACGTCCAGCAGTTGGACGAGAGAAGAATATGCTCCAACGTCTAT